GTACGGCTCCTGGGACTTGTATCAAAATAGGGTTATCTGTACTCTGGATCTATAAAATAATTTTCCTATGGTTTCCTCTCGAGCTTTTAACACCCTTTAAAAAAAACGATATGCTTGAGTAATCTGAACATTGTCTTATTATAAGACGTGACAACCATGTTGAGTCTATTTTTATTCCAGAAAATTTCCCAGTTGTCTCAAAAGCTTTTACCTAATGACCTATATACTTTCTCTTGATACAAAACATCATCTTATCACGTATTATCTTCATTGGGCTCTAAATTTACATGCAGAAAGTATTAGTTTTTCCATGTAAAACTAACAAGCAGCTGGAAAAGATAATAAAATATATTAATAATATAAAATATCTGAATTAAATTTAACAAGAGACATAAAATCTCTGTATTTCAAATGAATTTATACATTTCCCTCAGTCTGAATAAAAGATACACTTCACCATAGCAAGAAGATATAAAAAGATTGATTTAACAAAACATGCATATGTTGACTAAGCCAATATTTTAAGCTTTATTAAAAGCTTAAACATTATTTGAATGGATTAATAACCATTTCACTATGACAAAGTATGTGTCAATATTATGATGTTACCTGTTTTTCACATATCAATCATATATGCAAGTCAATCAAGAGAATATATTCAGTGCAAATGATTATCTATTTTTAGGAACTTGATGAACTTGCTCTAAATGTTTTTGGGAAAAAAAATATGAAGAGCTAGTTCAATCTGAAAACAAAATATTAGAGAAGGGGAAGTCAGCTTAGGCAAGGAATGCATGACTAAGATCTCAAATGCAAAAATAAATAAATAAATAGGTGCTAATTCAAGTCACAACCTTCTGTATAACAAAAGAAATAATCAGCAAACAGGGTCTCCAGAGCACTGAAAGGTGCTGGAAACAAAACTGGGGGTGGGAATGCAGTGTGGGAGCGTTTGCGGAATGAAGACTGGATGGATGAACGGTGCAGGTGTTGTGGACGGGAATGAATGACTTTTGCCCTCAGGTCTCCCTTACAAATCCCTGGACTGAGCAACAGGATTGAAATTAGGGTACAAAAGAGCAAACATTCAGGAAGTGAAGATGGTTTCTTTCTTCTACAAAGGCACTGAGTTCCAAGAAGACGGCGATATAGTCACTGGGCTTCCTGCATGAAGGAGGTAACAACTTAACATATGCAAAGCCCCAGGAGCACCTCTCAGCAGCAGCTAGAGGCTACCGCCCATCAGGAAATTGAGCACCCAGAAACAGCCAGGAGCCTTGACTCTCCAAACTCTCTTCTCTCCAGGCACCCCATGTCTGAGAGCTGCCTCCATGCACCTAGGTACCCGGAGCACAGCTTGCACACCATGCTTCTCTCCTGTCCCTCACACCCAGCATCCAGTCTGGACTCTTCCTTCCAAAAACTGTTCACAAAACCCAGACCTCACCGTCTTCCACTCTTTGTGGCTCAGCCCCCACCATAACCGACTTGCATCCAATGTCGGCCCCATGTAGTGTCTACATGACAGGCAGACCTCCACAGAGCTCAGTTGTGACTTCACCTGTCATCGGCTCAGACCCCTTCAAAAGATTCCTGGGAAGCTCTTGATAAAGTTCATGCCACTTTTCCTGATTTTCAGTGTCCTGAAATCTAGCCCCGTCTACTTCCACCACCTCATTTCTACTGCCTGTTATGCATGCTTGCCTCATCCTAGCCTTCTTGCCTATATTCAGATATTTCTACCTACTTGAAAGGACCATGCTTCCTCTCTCCCCTTCCCCACCCTTCAAAGCCCAGCGGTGACACAGTTCCTTCAGGAAGGCACTTCTGGTTACCGTGGTCACTCGTCCCTTTCCAACCTACTCCCTTGAGATCGTGGCCCAAGTTCTCAGGCCCGAGAGAAGGACTCACTCCTGACAATTGCTATCAAAGCTGAAGACTCATTTCTGCAGACTGTTCAGGGTCATGAGGCTGATGTGCTCAAACATGTCCAGTCTGGTGTTGCCCTCTGAGGCCAGGCACTGCCACTTGTCCTGGCCAGAGAAAAAAAAAACAGCCGAAGTTGGGAATTTCCTCCTGAGAGCTCCTTCCCAGACCCAGACATCATGATGGATGACAAGATGGTGGGTGGGACAAAGCATCATGGCACATGTATACATATGTAACAAATGTGCATGTTCTATACATGTATCCCAGAACTTATATATATATATATATATATATATACACTTTTATAAAATGTATTTAATTAAAATGAAACATATTAAAATATATTTTATACTTTATATATACTTTATACTTTATATACATGAAGATATATGTGTGTGTGTGTGTGTGTGTGTGTGTGTGTATACATATCCCTGTTGTGAGAGGTACTCCTCCATCAGACCTGAGCATCTGACTGGATATGCCAAGAATGTAAGACCCTGTTGTTCTTACCTGGGCTGTTTCTGCAGCTGTGTTTGCAGACAACATTGAGAGATAAGACAATGACTTCCCCTGGACCAATATCCGGCCTGCTTCTGCTTGCTGTAAAAGCAGTTCCCTGAGCCCAGTGCTCTTTTCCTCCCATGCAAGGTACTGCATGAGCAGGCAGCTGTTGAAACCTCTCTGTGG